TTAGTGTGGGCATAATGTTTTCATTTCCCTGGGTATACAGTAGGAATGGAATTGCTGGGTCCCGTGGAGGCTGTATTTAACGATCAGAGGAGCTTGCGAACTGTTGGGCAGTGGCTGTACGTTTTTTACGTTCCCAACCAGTATGTCAGAGGGCTCTTATTCTCCAGATCTTGACCAACATCTGTTGTGATCTGCTTTTTTATTCAAGCCATCCTCCTGGATTTGAAGTGGTTTTGATTTGCATGCGCATGTTTTTTTAAGATCAGAGAAATCTTTTCCAGAAGTCCTTCAGCAGGCTTTCCATCAAGTCCCGCTGGTGAGAATAGTATTAAATACATCTTCCTACACCGATCAATAACAAAGGATATGGATGACCAGTGTGGACTCGCCTCCCAGTTTGGAGCTGGGGCTCTGAACTGCCTCCTCTGAAGCACACAGGCCTCCAGAGGGGGTGCTTTCCTGAACAACAGAGAAGATAGACTGCAAATCATTATCCTCTTTTCTTACTGTTTGTTTGTTTGTTTGTTTGTTTGTTTGTTTGTTTGTTATGTTCTTGTGGGAGGGACGGGAAGCAAGTGTCTGGATCAAAGGGTGCCCAGAATTGAGACTGAGGCCTCGGAACCACTAGGTCCAGAAGTAGGGCAACAAGGGCCCATGGCGTGGAGTGGGTGGGTGACGTCAGTGTATGAGACTCGTGATCAAAGAAAAGCAGCGGGTGCAGGGTGGAGTTTTGCTGGGGTGGCATTGCTGGTTGTCGACTGACGGAGAAGCTCTGCACGGCTGAGGGGACAAGCACAGGGGGAGGGTGCCCATCTCAGAGTCTGCCCACATCCCTTGCCCAGGTCTGCCCAGCCAGCTGGCAGTGCTGCTCTTTCAGCGTATGAATAGCCTCCTCCTGGCAGCAGCCTATTGCCCACAGCCACCTCTGACTCCTTACGGCCAGAATGCAGTACAGAGGTCAGCGAAAAGTCACAGACGAGAAAAAGCTAAAGGAGTTCATCACCACCAAACCAGTTTTGCAAGAAATGTTAAAGGAACTTCTTTAAGAAGAAAAAAAAAAAGGGGGTGGGGGAATTAAAAATATGAATAATAAAATGGCAATAGCTGCATACCTGTCAATAATTACTTTAAATGAAAATAGATTAAATGCTCCAATTCAAAGACATGGTGCTTACAAAATAATATTGAATTGTAACATTCATATAATATAAACTATAATTAAAAATAAAATTTAAAAGAAGACAAGAATGGAGGGGAAAACAAGACCCATACATGTAATACCTACAAGGAACCCTTCAAATCGAAAGACACAAGTAGAGGGATGAAAAAAATATTTCATGCCAATGGAAATGAAAAAACAAAAACAAAACAAAACAAAACAAAACAAAAAAAACGGTGGTAGCAATACTTACATCAGACAAAATAGACTTTAGGCTACAACTAAAGACAAAGAAGGACATTTCATGTACAGTAGCCAAGATGTGCAAGCAACCTAAGAGCCCATTGCTGGGTGATTGGATAAAGAAGACGCAGTACATATACACAGTGGAATATCACTCAGCCATGAGAAAGAAACCCTGCCATTTGTGACAACACTGATGGACCTGGAGGGTACTGTGCGGGGTGAAGTGGGTCAGATAGAGAAAGACAAATGCTGTGTGATTTCTAAAACAAAACAAAAAAAGAAACAGGCAGATTCGAGTGCTGGGTGAAAAAGGAATTAAGAAGTACAAGCTGGCAGTTACAAAATAGTTGTGCAGATATAAAGTACAACATGTTGTGGAGCGAACTCGGGTGAATGACCACTGGAGTCCAGACCAAATTAAAATTTAAGGAGCCTTTAATGCCGGCCAGCTGACTGCTCTCCTTTCTGCTTACACTCAGGTGACCAGACGTCCCGCTTTTGGCGGGACAGTCCCGATTTTTAACAATTTGTCCCGCGTCCCGCGGTGTTTTAAAGAACAGTACCGATTTTTGTTTTAAAACAAAATCATTGAAAATTATATATATATATATCTTCAAAAGAGAAGATTGCAATTCAGTACACACAGACATGGCCAGGCACATGCATGAGGAACATACACAGCCGAAAAAGCACCGCCTGCTCACCACCTGGGCCACTGAAGCAATCCTCCCACAGAGCTTCTGGTTTCCGGCCAGGTTAAGGTATCATCATTTCATCATGAAAATTGGTGGTATGGGTGAGGCGGGCAGTTCTCAGTGGGAATTCTGAATACCGCTACCTGGGAGGAACAGATGGGGGAACTAAACAGATGTCCCCTTGCTGAATTTCCTCTGTTGCTGCAGAGGGAAAGCAGTGCAGGCTCACAGGCTAGGCTTGTCTGTAACTACGCACACCAGTGCAGGCAGGCTGGGTTCGAGTCCCCAGTCAGTTCAGTATGTTATTCTAATCAGAGTAAATGTTCTATTCTTAGAAAAAAGCTTGAGTTGCATGCATAAATGTATGTAGGCAATTGTGTTGCCAGTGAAAATGTTTGTGTGCTTTGTTTTTTTTGGTGACACAAGATAGGAATTTCAGCCGAAACCGGTTTGGCTCAGTGGTAGAGCGTCGGTCTGCGGACTGAAAGCTCCCGGGTTCGATTCCAGTCAAGGGCATGTACCTTGGTTGTGGGCACATCCCCGGTGAGGGTTGTGCAGGAGGCAGCTGGTAGATGTTTTTCTCTCATCAACGTTTCTGGCTTTCTATCTCTCCCCCTCTCTGTAAAAAATCAATAAAATATATTAACAAAAAAAAGAAAAAGAAAGGAATTTCAGAGGATACAGGATTGGGAGAAGTTTAAGTGTAATGACAAGATTTATTGGGGTGAAGGGAAATAATACATCCTCGGATGTAGAAGGCAGGCACACTCCAGGCCCTGCGATCCCTGATAATCCTCTGTATACAATTTCTTGATTTTGGGCAACAAGTAGGTTTTTTTTTTTTTTCAAGCTATCCAACCTACTTCTTGGTTTTTCTGGACTTGTGTTGGATCCTCCTCCTAATCCAGTGGTTCTCAACCTTTCTAATGCCTCGACCCTTTAATACAGTTCCTCATGTTGTGGTGACCCCCAACCATAAAATTATTTTCTTTGCTACTTCATAACTGTAGTTTTCCTACTGTTAATGAATCATAATGTAAATATCTGTGTTTTCCAATGGTCTTAGGTTCTACAGCAGGGGTTCTCAACCTGAGAATCGCTAGCAGAGTCAGATCACAGGACAGTTAACAGATTAGGGGCTTTTTAGAGGGTGGTTACTCCTAGGAGGGGTACTGCTTCTGACATTTCAAAAGCGTTAAACTGGATGCACAAGAACAATGGACAGGAATTTGTGACTTATTCCATCCCTTTTTCATCTACAGTATCAACATGTCCTTGTTGACATCTGCCAGATTCCTGTTCTGTTGCTTTACTTTGCCTTGCTCATTAGGATGTGTCCCACCTGAGAACAATCGTTTTTAGGTCAGGCTTTAAAATTTCAAAGCCAAGAAATCAGGAAATGGTCACCCTATGTATTTTTGAAGAAGTGACACACTTGTCAAACTTGTTTCTCTGTTCCCCAGAGATGGCCTATGGGTGCTGATGGATAGGTCCACTAAGCAACAGGCTCCGATTCCCCTTACTCTTTGAACCTAGGAAGTGAGCATCCCTAGAGAGAGGTGTTACCTAAGTAAGTTCTCGGTCTGTTTGGACTGGGTGGCTTATACACAAGGGACATTTATTTCTCACAGTTCTGGTGGGCGGGAGATCCAGGCAGCAGCATGGTGAAGGACCTCTTCCTGGTTCATAGCTGTGGCTTCTGGCTGTGCCCTCACGTGGTAGACCCGTGAGGGAGCGCTGGGGAGGCTCATTTAGTAAAACACTATCTCATTCATGACGGCTCCACCCTCATGACCTAGTCATCGCCCCTCTAAGGCCCCACTTCCTGATGCCATTACATCAGGCTTTAGGATTTCAACATATGAATGGGAGGGAGAGACAGTGACAGTTAGACCCTAGCAGTGAGTTCTCATCCTTTCCCTTGCTGCTGGCACCACCTTTCCACTTCTGCCCAGCCCCATCTTCCCAGAGGTCTGAGAGACCAGAGTTTGGGGGGGCGGGGAATACCTGTGTTGTCATCATGCAAGGATTCAAGCGTCCTGCCCCCTCCCCTGTCGCTCAGCCCCTGTATATGCAAATTAATCGCCGTCTTTGTTGGGTTAATTTGCATATCACTCCTGATTGGCTCGTGTGTGTAGCGGAGGTACGGTCAATTTACCTATTTGTCTATTGTTGTGTAAGAGTATGTATGATAGGATTTTGTAAAAATTAAGTTATTTTTATTAAGATGTTTTTTTATTAAGATGTTTCTTACATACTGTTATATTGGCTGGACTGCAAAAATAATCGTCGTGGGCTGCCTGTGGCCTGTGGGCCACGAGTTTGACATGCTTGTTCTAAAGGTTCCAGGGTGTGTGAAAGGTGGAGAGAGTGACTGAAGACAATGGAGTGGAATGTGGTGCATTTTTTGGCAGGATCCATTGAGAATTCCCAAGCTTTTAGAATTGCAAGAGACACACTGCCATGCTTGCCTACGGGTGGGAGCTGTGAACAGGATTGGGGCTGTGAGACCCAGATTTGGAGGGCACCCTAATTCCACTAGAAAATGTTATATTTAGATGCTTAGAAAGTATGATGAGCAAGTAACGGGTTACTCAACAGAAGTCTCAGTTCCCCTATCTGTAAAATGAGATCATGAGATCCCCTGTTTCAAACTGTGGAAAAGATTCAGTGAGATATGAGTGTAATCTTTCTGGCACTTAACAGGCCCTTAGTAGATAGCAGCTGTTAGTCTTATCCTTTTACTTTTACACGGATCCCTTTAGAGCTTGTTCAGATGATTGAACGTATTTATAATTTACATGATAATAACGAACAAATGTTACCCTCAGCAGATGCAGCTCTGCGGGTCCAGAGTGACGTCTGTAGCAGCGGAGAAGTATTTCTAGGCTCTTGGCCCGATGTCTTGGCAGCACCTTGACCTGAAGATGGCACCCAGGGTGCTGTGGGGCAGCCTCAGCCTGCTCCGCCTGCTGTGGTGTCTCCTTCCGCAGACAGGCTACGTGCACCCAGATGAGTTCTTCCAGTCGCCTGAGGTCATGGCAGGTAAAGCCCCCCGGGTGTGGCTATGATAAATCACAGCACAGTCCGGATTGGAGCCAGTTGGATGTCCCGTGGGGAGGGAGACACATGGCTGTGCAGATGAACAGAAAACCAGTGAGCCTGTCTGGTATGCAAATTGACCACCATCTTTGTTGGCTAATTTGCATATCACTCCTGATTGGCTGCTGGGTGTAGCAGAGGTATGGTCAATTTACATGTTTGTCTATTATTAGGTAAGATTATGTGTAATAGGATTTTGTAAAAATTAAGTTACAAGTTCTTACTCCAGAGAGAGTTGGAGGAAGAACTTGCGAGGGGGGACCTCACATCTCCTTCCTGAGTGATGACACTGATCTTCTGGATGATACTCATGAAATGCCAGCCTCTTTGGTGTTTTCCTGTTTGGACCAACAGGAGAGGTTACTGAGAAGAAAAGCTGTTTTGTATTTCTCGACGAAGGATTTGAGTTGGGTTTCCTCAGGGCTTGGGAAAACGTACATGGGGTTATAATCTGAGCCAATGAAAGCTTCCTGTGGTTTTATGAGGCCGAGGGGACCCAGGCCTGGATGCTCCATTGTTAGAACTTATCTGCCGAAACCGGTTTGGCTCAATGGATAGAGTGTTGGCTGGGGACTGAAGGGTCCTGGGTTCGATTCCGGTCAAGGGTATGTACCTTGGTTGCGGGCATATCCCCAATAGGGGGTGTGCAAGAGGCAGCTGATCGATGACTCTCTCTCATCGCTGTTTCTAACTATCTCTCTCCCTTCCTATCTGTACACAATCAATAAAATATATTTTATAAATGTAAAGATGCTCTTAAAATATAAATAGGCATGTAAGATAAAATTATGTTTATATACATTAATGGAATCAATAGTCAAAAAAAAGAACTTACCTGCCTGGTGGTGTGGAGCACAGCATGGGGATGGTTGCCAGGGACCACAAGGTTCTCAGATGCTGTGGGCACATGGCTTCCTCCTCACAGTGCAGTATGGCCGCTGGCGCTCCTGCCCTCAAGTCTAAAACCAAGTCTTTCCTGCCATTGCAGAAGAGATGGGCATGCCTTCTCTCTTCAAGGGCATTTTTTAAAGTCTCAGATCATTTCCATCTCATCAGTCAGAATATATCACATGGCAACAGCTAGCCTGCAAAGGAGCTGAAAAATACCGCCTTCAAACCTGACCAAATGCCCCCTTAGGAGACTCAGGAAGAAGGAGGGAATGGATACTGGGGAGACTATTTAGCCATTTCTGCCACACGGCTCAACACTGGATTCCAACTTGAAAGGTCCAGTCTTCCTTTCCACGCTTTTTTAAAAACGGGAGCCGATGAGAAGCAGCCAGATTGATCTGATCCTAGCTTTTCTGTTTCCCGTTCACCTTTTGACATAGAGAGAGAAAGGTTAAAAGGCTGGAGGAATAAGTAGGAGAAACAAAGAGCCCTGAACAAACCCGCAGTGTCATCGAGCAGGAGGAGGTGTGGGCTTGAGTTGAGCAGAAATCAAGAGTTTGTTTCCTTCACCCCACCCCTCAGAGCTCCAGGACCCGGATGCAGGATCACGGACCAGACTCAGGCAGCGAGTATTCTTTGAATGACACAAGTCCTGCTTGAATATATCCTTCTTATGAAAAATTTAAATACCATAGACAAGTCTAACAATTGCTCATTCCCTTTCCCTTCCTCACACTGCCTATCCTGGAACACAACCATAATTACAGAGATTATTATTTTACTTTATTATTATATATTTTTATTTTATTTTAATTATTATTATTATTATTATTATTATTTTTACCTCACGTTGGAGACTTTAAACTCCGAGGAGAGGAATGGACCTCCCCCTGATCCTCCCCATACACCCTGTCCAGGGCACATTGTCCCCTCACACCCCTGGAATGGTTCCTTCTCAGGTGGGGCCTCAGACAGGCTGGCCTCCCCTATCGTCATTTCTGGTGCTGCATAACAAATCACCACAAACCCGGAGCGTAAAACCGTTAGGTCACTGTTCTATACGTTGGGAGTCCGGCCTGGACTCTGCGCTCAGGGCATCACAAGGTTGAAATCGAAGTATGGCCGGGCCGCGTTCTTGTCTGGAAGCTCTGGGGGGAAATCAGCTTCCCAAGCTCCTTCTTTATGTCTTTTTCAGTTTATGGAACTAAAGTTCCCACTTCCTTGCGGAAAGTCAGCCAGGGGCTGATCTCGGCTCCTAGATCGTACTTGCCAACGGCCCCCTCCATCTGAGACCGCAATGTGTGAATCACCCAATCGTCCTAATGGTTTGAATCTCTGACGTCCTTTTCTGCTCGTAAAGGGCTCGTGTGATGATGTCAGGCCCATCAGCCTTACCTCCCCGTCTTAGGTTCTGCTGTCGCCCGTGACATAAACTCATCCCAAGAGGAAAATCCATCATCTCTACACACAGTCCCAGGGTGTACTCAGGGAGTGTCCCTGAGGGGGCTGGGAAATTAGGTGGCCATCCTAAGGCATTGTCTACCCTCGTCTCTGAGCTCGGGGCTGACGCACCCCTCCGTCTCTCCGCAGAGGACATCCTGGGCATAGAGGGCGCCCGGCCCTGGGAGTTCCAGCCCAGCGGCTCCTGCCGCACGGTGGTCTTCCCACTGCTGACCTCTGGCTTTGTCTTCTGGCTGCTCAAGCTCTGGAAAGAGCTGTGCCCGTGGCCCTGCCCGGTAAGCGGCTACATGCTGCTGGTGGGGCCCCGGCTCCTCCTCACGGCCCTCTCCTTCGCCCTGGACGTGGCCATCTACCACCTGGCGCCGCTGTGGAGGGCGGAGCGCTGGAACGCCCTGGTCCTGCTGTCCGGCTCCTACGTCACCCTGGTCTTCTACACGAGGACCTTCTCCAATGCCATCGAGGGACTGCTCTTCGCGTGGCTGCTGGTGTTGGTGTCGCCCCGTGTGGCTCGGGGCCCCGCACCCAGGAAGCCTGCTCCGGGCTCGTGGTGGCACAGCTGGCTTCTTGGGAGCATCCTGGCGGCTGGCTTCTTCAACCGGCCCACCTTCCCGGCCTTTGCTGTGGTCCCCGTGTTCCTCTGGGGCGTCGGCGGAGCCACAGACTCTGCCTTCAAGTCGCTGACCAAGGCGGCCCTGGGGCTCCTGCCAGGAGCGACCCTCACGGCAGCGGTGTTTGTGGCCGCGGACAGCTGGTACTTCTCCCGTCCGTTTGCCGGCAGACCCAATACCCTCGTCCTGACACCTGCCAACTTCTTGCAATATAACCTGGATCCCCGAAACCTGGAGAGGCACGGCACGCACCTGCGGCTCACTCACCTGGCGGCCAACGGCTTCCTGCTCTTCGGGGTGCTGCATGGCCAGGCCCTGCAGGCTGGGTGGCAGCAGCTGCGCGTCTTTTGCCAAATGCACTCCCCGAGGGTGTGGGATGCCCGGATCCTGCTGCCCAGCCCCAGCTCTCAGCTCCTGCTCCTCTACTTCACGCCCCTGGCCCTGCTGTCTGCTTTCAGCCACCAGGAGGCTCGGTTCCTGATCCCCCTGATCGTCCCCCTGGTCCTGCTCTGTAGCCCACAGACCCAGCCTGTGCCCCGCAAGGGCGCCCTGGTCCTCTTCAATGCCCTGGGCGCCCTCTTCTTCGGCTGCCTGCACCAGGGCGGCCTGGTGCCCAGCCTGGAGCACCTGGAGCGGGTGGTGCATGCACCCGTGCGCCCAGGCGTGCCTACCCACTACACCCTCCTCTTCGCCCACACCTACATGCCCCCGCAGCACCTCCTGCACCTCCCAGCCCCGGAGTCGTTTGTGGAGGTGATAGAAATGGGCGGGACCGAGGACCCGGTCCTGTGCCAGACCCTGAACAACCTAACCAGGCTACCAGCCTGCCAGGCAGCCGGCGGGCCGTGGCTCTGCCGCCTTTTCGTGGTGACCCCTGGCACCACCCGGCCTGCCACGGAGAACTGCAGCTTTCCCCTCAAGAGCGAGACACGTGTGTTCCCCCACTTGACCCTGGAGGACCCACCAGCCATGTCCTCCCTGCTGAGCGGGGCTTGGAGGGACCATCTCAGCCTTCACATCCTGGAGCTGGGGGAGAAGCCCGAGACGTGACAGAGGATCCGGGGCTGTGGGTGAAGGCCCCGCCACCTTCTCTCTGGGAAGCTGGGCCGGGACAGAGGCTGGCGCTCTTCCTTCCCCTCCCTCCCAGCACCCCCACTGCCTCTCTGGCTCACAGCCCTTGCTTTATCTTCTGGGTAATCTGGCACCCTTATCCCCTCAAAGACCAAAGATCTGTCCAGTCACAGTCCTGAAGCCAAGGTCCTGATGCCCCAAAGAATCTGGTATAACCAACTGGTCCCTGATGTTGGCCCCCGCCCTATTCCTTCCAGAAACTGTGATGTTTTAAGTATATCCTTGCACCTGGTTGTGAAGAGACAATGATCTGCTAATGACATTCTTGACTGAACTCCAAACCTCCCAGGATGCCTTGCCTCTTGTTGTCATGACAACCCGTTGGCTTCCCAGACACCTGGAAGGAGGCAGAGTGGGGATGGAGAGGGGGCAGGAGTGCAGACTCAGGGGACCGGAGTTCTAGTCCCTGGCCTGCCGTTCGCTGTGTGATCTTAAGAATGCTCCCTCCCCTCCCCCAGCCTGTGTCTGGCCTGTACAATGGATGAGAGCCTCTCGGAGGTGTCTGCCAGCTAACACTGTGTGCCTCCTGGGGCTGCAGCACGTCCCCTGGCTAAGCTCTTTAAGCATGGAAGTGAGTGAGGTGGTATATTTAATTGCACTCTGGTGTCTGCTGTCTTACTGTTCGTTGTTTTTTACATTAAAAATATTTTTATTGATTTCAGAGAGGAAGGGAGAGATAGAAACATCAATGATGAGAGAGAATTATTGATGGGATGCCTCCTGCATACCCCATACTGGGGATCGAGCCCCAAACCCAGCTTGTGCCCTGACTGGGAATCGAACCGTGACCTCCTGGTTCATAGGTCAACACCCAACCACTGAGCAACACTGGCTGGGCTGTTGTTGTGTTTTTAACCAAAAAAGTAGTTCTGGAATATTTCTCTCCACCTCCTTCTATTCCTGTCCCTGAACGGTAGTGGGACATTTCAGCATCTCATCCTTTAAGGATCACTCTCCCTTTAAGAATAATTTCCCCTCCTCAGCCTGCCCCAGGGAGAGTGGAGAATTCACAATGCTCAGTCAGCATCTAGCAGCACTTGAGGATAAGCAGATGCCTTTCTTTTAAACGAGACCTGGTCCCTCTGCTCAAAGCCCTCTTCACAGGATGCAGAGCACACCCCATGCCAAACCCACACCTGCTACTTTGATGGAAGCCATCGCACCCCTGAGCATGTTGCTCCCAACACAGGTATTCCCTACCCAGTCCACTGGGAACGTGAGGAGCTGGGCTCTACACCTGTCCTCATCTGCCTCCTCACACCTCTGACCGGCCAGAGACCAGTGAGCACAGAGGAGACCAAACCTGAGTCCTTTTCGGGTTCTGCCTTCTGCTGGCGAAAGCTTTGGATCATCTTAAAGTTACAACCATCACACGTACACTGTTCTGACTGCTCCTAGGATCTTAGTGCCACATCTTCCTCATGTCTCCAACCCCAAGGAAGAGAAAATTCAGTGGTACACTGCTAAATGTGTGGCAATGTTCTCTTGGAGGCAAAAATAAAAATTAAAAAAAAGAAATAAGTGCCCAATTTGTAGCATTTGCCAATTTCTGTGGTATCAATATTCCCACGTGGCTGATTGCAAACTAAAATGATGTGTCTGGGCCCCAAGTTGGGAGGAGATGCCAAGGATCTACCCTCATCAAACAGTGTGAGCTGGCTCTAGCACACGGGCAGGTATTTCCCTCCTTTACACTCTAGAGACCCATTCATGACAACTCGTTGTTTTTCTGGTTTTTGTTTCTGCTATGAACCCGTGATTTGTCTTCCTACCCCTTAGTACTTAGCATCATCTCTGGCAAATGATAAGCACTTATTTTGCAGCCAAAGATGGCATTTCTGTCCATGGATATAAAACCAAGGACCACTTTGGAGACATCCAAGACTCTAGGCTCCCAAACTCCTCTGGCTGCTCCCTCTTCACTTCCCCATTTGGATCGACAACCATGAATTCCCTGGAGAAACTGTTGGCATAGCAGGCCATGTGGATTGTGTTGGTCTGAGCTCTAATAAATGTGTCTATAAAGTGTGTGTGTAAAGGTGAGTTGGAATTGCCCTGCAGGATGAGGGGATGAATTGCTTCCCTTTTAGGCAGAGCTTAGAAGAATTTGAAAGGCAGGCTGGGAGTCTGTTGTCAATGGGAAGAATTTGGTCTGTTTCTTTTCTTTTAAAAATGTTTTTATTGATTTTAGAGAGAGGGAGAGGGGTAGATAGATATCAACACCGATCAGCTGCCTCTTGCACACCCCCTACTGGGGATCCAGCCTGAAACTAGGGCATGTGCCTTGACTGGGAAGCTCTTGGTTCATGGGTTAATGCTCAACCATTGAGCAACAGCAGTCAGTCCTGGTCTGTTATTTTTATTATTTTTTAAAATATATTTTATTGATTTTTTAAAGAGAGGAAGAGAGAGGGATAGAAAGATCAATGAGAGAGAATCATCGATCAGCTGCCTCTTGCACACCCCCTACTGGGGACCTTTCAGTCCACAGGCTGACGTTCTATCCACTGAGCCAAACTGGTTTCAGCCCTGGTCTGTTTCTTTAGTAACAGGGTAACTGGTGAGAAGGTAAGCTACTGACTACAAACACTGGAGGCTTTTACAATGAAGTGGGGAGGCATCTAGTAGGAGCAGAAAGGATCCAGTTTTCTGTTTGCTCCCAGAAATGAAGGTGTGTGACTTAATTCTTATATACTCCTCCCACAAAAATTAAGCAAGTGCCCCTTCTCTTGATCTCCTTCCTTTCCTTCTAAATGGCCAGTTTGTCTAGAAATTTCATTGCTTCCTGCACTTCTTCCCTTTTTGTCTCTTCTAGGAAAAAAAACAAAACAAAAAACAGAGTATGCTTATTTATGCCGAGGATATGGACTGGGGACTGCTAATACTGTGGTACTCTGATATCCACAGACAATGGGTGGCACTGAGGCCAATGAGGCAGACAGGACAGTGGACTGAACAAGCTTTTTAGGCTCATCACTGCCAGGCTCCAGGGAAAATCCAACGAGTTGCCTCTAGTTTGGGAGAAAGATTTCTCCTCTGATGGGAGAGGAAGGTAGGATGCCAAACCAGGACTTTGGTCATTAGGAGATGGGACTTCTGGCCTCAAAGAGGAGTAAGTAGCACCTCTGATGGGAAGACTGGAGGTTGGGATGCCAAATCAGAAGTCTGACCATAAGGAAAATGGAGAAGCTACTTTAGCTCCTCCATCCCAGGGTAGGTCTCCCGCCCTATCCAGCTTCCTGTGACTACCAGAAAATGGCCAGAGTATAAATTCTGTTTGGTTACCAGCCAGTCTCAAAGCTTCTTCTGTGGTTTTCTGATGGAATAACAGTGCAGCCTAATCAGAGGCGATCAGAAATTCAGTCAGCTTGCTCCTTAGCAATGGGAAACAGGACGACACAGGACCTCATCCTCGGGTTTCCTGACCCTCTAAAATGGGAAACAGGAATCCAGGTAGCTTGCTCCTTAGCAGGCAGTAGCCCTAACACCCAGGGGTGATGGTAAGGAGTGGGAAGGCAGACATTGGAGATGAGGCCTGGTAAATGCTATAAAAAGCTGATTATGCAGAAACCATTTGGCTCAGTGGGTAGAGCATTGGCCTGCGGACTGAAAGGTCCCAGGTTCGATTCCGGTCAAGGGCATGTACCTTGGTTGCAGGCACATCCCCATAAGGGGTGTGCAAGAGGCAGCTGATCAATGATTCTCTCTCATCGATGTCTCTAACTCTCTTCCTCTCTGTAAAAAAATCAATAAAATATATTTAAAAAGAAGAAAAAAAAAGAAAGCTGATTATGGACTTTAAGGCCTGGAATTAAGCACCTGTATTCACATCCAGCTCTGTAAGGCCATGGGCAGCTTAAGAACGTAGCCCACCCTTGTCCATAAATGGTAAGGATTACATAATATAACCCATCCAGAGTGCAATTAGCAAGCGCCACCACAGAGGAAGACTCAGTCTGTGTGAACTAGTACTCCCATGGGCCTACAGTCCCGAGGAACCCTAATCCATCTTGGCGGAGAAGTACCACACTCATAGCCATTTCTCAGCTCACACATTTAATCAGAGGATTCGGGGCATCTACTGGGCTGTCTTTCCATCCATGATCTCCGCTGGAGGTAGTGCCCTACTACGTCAGTGCAGAGGCAGCAGCATCATCAGGGGTTTCAGTCTCACACGCAGAGGGCGGGCTCTCCTTCGGGCTGTGGCGTGGTCCATGGCTCTCTGCAGGTGGTGGGTCAGGGCCTAGCTTATCTTCATTGTTGTTAGGCTTCGGGGCTTTCTTCACACCCTGCGCCCTGTCCCATCACAGGGCTCACCGGGCATGTCCGTCTGGCCTGGGCGCTCTGGCGCGCGGCTCTCTGCAGGCTGACAGGAGTCAGGAGGGGAAGCCATGCGCAGGGCCGGGGATGACTCCTTAGCGTCGAGGCCCGTGTCCAGCCGGAAGGGAGAGGGGCGATCTTGGCCCGGATTAGGGGTTCGCTCCCGGGCCCCGCTGGCTACCTGGTGGCGGCGGCCCCGGGCGCTCCCGGAGGCCGCGGCGGAGCTCCTGGGTGAAGGTGTCTCTGAAGCGGGCAGCGCGGCGGCCCAGGGAACCCGCGGGCCCGGCCGCGAGGCCTCGCAGACGCCGGGCCGCGTCCTGGCCGCGCAGCTGAGCCTGCAGCAGCGCAAAGGCGGTGAGCTGCGCCGCACGCCGGATGGGCCGCGACTCGGACAGGCGCTCCACCAGCTGCGGGTTGTGCAGCAGGACGGCCAGCAGCCGCCTCAGCACCATCGTTGGAGCGGCCCGGAACCCGAGCGCCGCGCTCTGGCTTCCGCCCGGAGGCGCCGGACGTCGGACCACGTCTGAGCCCCGCGCCGCCGGGTGACGTCACTGCCGCGCTGGGATTGGTCGGCAGAGCCCGCCTCTCGCGTTTCCGGTTCCGCCGCCTCCGCGTCCGCTCGTTCTTCCCGCGGTTGAGTCGTCCTCGTCGACCTCTGCACTATGTCCAGCGGCCTCCTGAAGGCGCTGCGCAGCGACTCCTACGTGGAGCTGAGCCAGTACCGGGACCAGCACTTCCGGGTGAGGAGGGCCGGGCCGCGGGGAGGCGAGGCCCTGGCCCAGAACCCTGCGACCTGGTTTTCTCCGGGCTCATTGTCGTCCCTCATCCTCGGGTTTCCCGAAACCCAAAGCGGCCCCGGGGCCTGCTGGGGAATGGGTGCCGAGGGCGTGGGGCTGTCACGGAGTCCCCTTCTCTCACAGAGAGGGAATGGGGGGCTCGCTCTCCCGTTCCCTGGGAGCCGCTCGCGGGCCTGGCCCAGGGCAGAGGCGTTGGGGCGGCGGCAGAGGCGGCTCCGTTTCCCCGGGCGGTGCCTCGGGGACTTTGGGATGAGGGCAAGGCGTGTCCTTGGGACACCTAGAGTCCATGGAGCCGCCTCCCTGACTCAGATACCGGCGCTTTTTACTTCTTGATTTGTTGTAGTGAAAAATATATATGAGCATGTAAACTACCCAAGCAGTTATTTTGAACATTTTTTTTATTGATTATGGTATCACATAATTGTCCTCACATCCCCCCCCCCCAATCCCATCCCAAACCCCTCCCTACATATGCCCCCCCCCCCGCCCCCTTTGTCCATGGCCCTTGGCTAGGCCCATATGCATGCACATAAGTCTTTTGGTTGATCTCTTCCCTTTATTCCCATCCTCCCCTACTTTCCCTCTGAGGTTTGAGAGTCTAATCGCTGCTTCTCTTTCTCTGGGTCTGTTTTTGTTCATCAGTCTATGTTGTTCATCATTTCCTCTAGATGTGTGAGATCATGTGATCTGAACATTTTCTATGGGAGTGTTACAGGGGTACCCTGTCTCTGCAAAGCCATGTATTCTTTCAGTGCAAAGGATTAAAAAGCCCCCTTATAATAAATTGGTTCAGGGTCTGGAAATTAAACCGGTACCATTAGAGGATCCAGTACTGAGAATATGGAGTGTGCAGGGGAAAGGCATGCCACTTGTATGACAGCATGGTACCGGAGGAGACAGAAGGAGGGTTCTGTGCAATGTAACCTTCAAGCCATGACCCTCTACTAAAAGCAGTCTGGATCTTGCTTCATAGATTGTGAACATATCCCTTTCTCCTCTCCCCTCCCCCCTCCCCCTTCTCTCCCCCTCTCTCCCCCCTCTCTCCCTTCTTTCCCTTCTCTCTCTTCTCTCTCTCTCTTCTCTCTCTCTCCTTCCTCCCTCCCTCCCTCCCCCTCCCTCCCTGCTCCAAGCCCCCCCGCAGAGTATTTGTGGTAGATTGGAGTGATGAGAGAAGCTGATTCTCGAAGCAGAATTTATAATAGGAATACTATTTAAGCAGGGCTGTTCTTAGATTGTGTTGCTTAACTTTTTCTCTATTTGAAATTCAGGGTGACAATGAAGAACAGGAAAAATTACTGAAGAAAAGCTGTACATTGTATGTTGGAAATCTTTCCTTTTATACAACTGAAGAACAAATCTATGAACTCTTCAGCAAAAGTGGAGACATAAAGAAAATCATTATGGGCCTGGATAAAATGAAGAAAACAGCATGTGGTTTCTGCTTTGTGGAGTATCCTTCCTGTGTCGCGGTAGCTGTTGGATGAGTGAGACCTGAGTGGTTAGTCACCTGTTTAAAAAAAATTAGTGAGGATATTCGATAATTAGCATTTCTACACATATCTCTGTCTCTTCTTCTTTCATCTACCTCTTACCTTCTGTCTAGTATGTCTACACTCTTATATTGTGAAAGCTGGTATATTTACATTTTGTTCTCGAAATCCATGCTTTGTTTATAGTTAATTCTTTTTCTTTTTTTTAATCCTCACGCAAAGTATGTTTTTATTGATTTTACAGAGAAAGGAGGAGAGAAACGGAGGAAGTGGGGAGAAGGGAGAGATAATCAATGTTTCTCTCACATGAATCCTGTGATAGCTCAGTTGGTTGGAGCATCATCCTGATATGCCAAGGTTGTGGGTTTGATCTTCAGGCAAGGGCACATACAAGAATCAACCATTGAATTCATAAAATTTCTTCTCTCCCTCTCTTAAATCAATAATAATAATACATTTTTAAAAGTCAAAGGAATAGCATCATTCTAAGCCTAGAGACAGTCAGTTACCAGTCCCTTGGGTAGCTCCAGAAAAAATCCTGTGCCTGTGTAGCAGGATACTACAGTCCTCTCAGTGACTGTTCCATATTAGCACAGGGAGGTCTGCCTCTTTTTAAAATGGCTCTATAGTATGTATCTCATTACATTAGATGTATATAATTATATTAGGTATATTCATTATATTAGATATATATAGCTTGATGTTTATAGATAAAAACCAAAACTGTATTTGTAATTTTTCTCTCCCTGGAAACTTAATATTGAAACTTCTGGATTTATCCTTTTCCTAATACTTTTCTTTCTTTGGTCATTTTGTTCTATATTCTGAGAAATTTAAAACATGATCTAACATGTCTTAAAAAATTTTTCCTTGTCCTGAATTATGTTTCTTTTGGTTGTATTTATGCTGTAAATTTTCCATAAAGGTCTGGTGATCCTTGGGTGTGCAATCAGAATCAGGAGAAAGAGGGGTGATTTTGTGGACTCGGGCAGACCTGCTGTCTCCAGTTGTTGCCTTACCTTTGGATATGTGGGTTTGCCAAATGCCAGGGAAGAAAGGGGATTGTATTTTGGCCAGCTAACATCAAGACAGTGCCCTAGTTTCTCCAGACAGTTTGTTTAGAACTCTGTTATTTGATTTGTACTTGCCTGGGATTAAACGCCTTCCTGCTAGCAAGTCTTCCCACGTAGAGACCGTTAACCCTTTCTGCAGCTTCACTTTTTATTCAACTTTGGTAAGAGCGCCTGGGTTTACTGTCCCTTCTTAAGCTCCTTCAGAATATTTCAGACTAACTTTGTTTCATCCATGAACACTCTCCCATAGGCTTTTGTTGAATCACTTAGTCTGCTGCTAGCCTCTTCTCTTCTGGGTGTGTTTTTTTCCTAATTTAAATGAGGGTCTTGAGAAGGAAAGGAGGGAAATGTGCTCACTATCAGCTCGAACCAGAAGCCCCACTTTTAACTTTTGTGTCTTAATTTCTGGGCTCTTCAAGCTTCTTCCTTCCATTCTCCCTTCAGATGCAAGAGACTAGTATCCATGTTTTGTTTTTTGCCTCTGATAACAATAGTTCACAGGGGACAGGGAGAACAGTGAAAACACAAAAGACAAAATCCTACTCAAAGATAAAAATCAGTCCCTGAGAACTGTGGTATTTTTGCCACAAGTCAAAGATCAATAATTACAATGGCAAATACCCAAGAGAGATGCTTCATTGGCAGTGTTGGTTTTCTGTTTGCCTTGTTAGCATGCATTCCATTCATTCAACAAATTACTGGGGGCGGGGTATTGAAATTTCAGCAAGCGTTTCCCTGTGTAATTAAAGCATTTCTGAGTCTTTCCTTCTAATGAAATACAACGGCAATTCCATATGCACTGTGACCTCTCAAGGTTGTTCTTGAATATACAGCTCAAATTAAGAATGGCATTGATTCCTATGATGAATGCATTTTGTGGCATAAACCTGCCCTGAACATACATATTTTGCAATCAAAATATGGAGAGAATGGGACCATATAGTTATTAACAGGATTATTCGGGAAATCATGGTCAATGCAGCTATGGATAAGCGTCAGTCATATTTGACTCCACTGCTTCGGGACCAACAGGCCTTTGCAAACCGATGTCTTTAAACTCTGTCTAGTTGAGTTTTTGTAGTTCCAAAAATATTTGGAGAAATGCTATATAGTATTCCTTAATGCTTATACTTAAGATACTACATAAGAGCAGATGCGGAAAATGCCATGCGGTACATAAACGGAACTCGCCTGGATGACCGGATCATCCGCACGGACTGGGATGCCGGCTTTAAGGAGGGCAGGCAGTATGGCCGGGGACGGTCTGGAGGCCAGGTGAGCAGGCAGGTTCTCTGGGCTCAGCCTTTACCCGGGACTCCAGTCCTAATGACAAGTGTTTTGTCTATTTGTATTTGCTCTTTTGAAATTAACTTTGTGCCTATAACTTTGGCTGGAAGGGAATCCCAAATCACCCATTGAGATTAGTAAATTATTTTCTTAATGCAATGGTATATTCTGTACATTATTGGACTTTTGCTAGGGGTTAGATATTTTCCACCTGCAGAAGTGTCTAGAACAAAAGCAAAATGCACTGAAATGAATTTTGTTTTTACTTAAAAATAGCCTAATTTAAGTACCTTGCAATGAGCTATTTTTGAATGGTGGTGAATGAGTGTACACCTGATGTTTGGTAAGAAACAAACAAAACCCCACAAACTATTAGGTAGTCTGAGGTAATTCTGCAAGAAAGTTGCTTTAAAAAATTATATCCTGCTTGACTGTTCATTCACATTACATCTGAAAAGGCTTAGCTGTTTGGCATATTTGTGGGAGGCATATTTATTACAGCAATCTTCTCTATATTGTAACCTGTGTTCTTTTCAATTAAGGTACGAGATGAGTATCGACAGGACTATGACGCTGGGAGAGGCGGCTATGGAAAACTGGCCCAAAACCAGTGAGCAGAACCATCATGAAAAACTCACTCCTTGGCCTGCTGAGTTTGATGTACATTACCTAAGGTCTGCAAACCTGCCATTTTTACAAATATTTGATCAGTGTCTCTGCTGAGCCAGACACCACTTCATGGCTTTCCTGTGAAAATTATTAAAGGACAGAAGCCAAAAGAATGCCTTTAATTCTATATTGGGCATGTGTGAGGTTCCCGGGATGATTTTCTTACCAGGTCAGAAATCGTGTTCCTTGGCAACGGAGTATATATATAATGTTGATTTATCAGCCCAAACCACCACACGTCTTTTAGGAAAATTGGAAAAAGTTTACAATTTTGTTTACTGTGTTTGTGTATAAGCAGGTTCATGTTCTACACATTGGGGCCTGTAATTACTATTTAAAAAATTTTTAAGTTGCCTTGAGATAAAGTTGAATAAATGGAGTTTTGTGGTATTTTATATCTTTGCTCTAAATTAGGAACTGATGTTTGACAACTGAATTTTTTCCCTATGTTGAATGCTAATCTCTAAAAGCAAACTTAGGAAGTCAAGAGAACTTCCTAAAGAGTAAGCCTTAGACAGTTCCAGGGTATATACCTGCTCACATGCTTTGTATGTCAGGAAATTAGATACAGGACTTGGAAGGTATTTACTAAGTACATTAAAAAAAAAAAAAAAAAAAAAAAAAAAAAAGCCAAGTTTGATTTGTATTATGAAGAACCTCAAATACTCTAAGGGAAGGAAGGACATTGTCAGTAGGAAATGGGATGAAATATCAGAGGACACTAGTTAAAACATTGTCTTGAAACGTTGAGGGTTGCTGTGAGGGCCATCAGATTTATTGTCTTTGTTTTCAGAGTGATCTTGGAAATAGAATAGGTTTTAAAAAAGAGCCTAATGAAAAATGATCAGAAATGCTTTCCTCAGGAAATATGTTTGGCCAATTGTCATGTTGAAGTCCGTCTTGTTTTTTTACTACATAATTGTGCTTACTGAGTTTCAGAGCCTTGACAGTAATGGTCTCCACAGAGAGGGGAGTCTAGAGTCTTTACTTTGCATTTGTAAGGCAAGAGGTGATTTCTCTATAATAGTATGTTTAACTGTTTTCCTTTTTTTTTTTTTTTTTAAATTTATTGGGGTGACATTGTTTAATAGGGTCATAGGTTTCAGGTGTAGATTTCTACAATACAAGATCTATATATTGTATTGTGTGCCCACCTCCCTAAGTCAAATCTTCCGTCACTATATTAGATCCCCTACATCCCCCACCCACCCATTCCCTTTAGCAACCACTACACTGCTATTCGTGTCCATGAGTTTCAGTTTGTTTTGTTTTTTAAATATATTTTATTGATTTTTCACAGAGAGGAAGAGAGAGGGATAGAATAGAGAGAAACATCGATGAGAATCATCGATCAGCTGCCTCTTGCACACCCCCTACTGGGGATGTGCCCGCAACCAAGGTACATGCCCTTGCCCGGAATCGAACCCGGGACCTTTCAGTCTGCAGGCCAACGCTCTATCCACTGAGCCAAACCGGTCCCGGCAATGAGTTTCAGTTTTATATCCCACATATGAATGAAACCATATGATTCTTAGTTTTTTCTGACTTATTGCACTTAGCATAATACTCTCTAAATCCATCTGTGTTGTCACAAATGGCAGTATTTTTTTTTTAATGGGTGAGTAGTATTCCATCGTATATATGTACTACATCTTCTTTATCCGAGCCTCTATTGCAGGACAATGGTTGTCTCTGTTGTTCATTTAAAACTGCTAATCTAGTAAAAATTTTCCTGACATAAGTGAGATTTTTTTTCATCTAGCAACAGAGTATCTCCAAACTTCTTGTAGTTTGTGAAACTTGGGGCTGAAGTATCTCAAATGAACATCTTTGACACTAGGTAAGTATAGGTTTTCTCATTGAAATTGAAACAGGTTACTTGAATTTTTATAAAAGCTATAACTACTTGTGCTTAAGAAAAAACATTTGCAAATATTTTAATTTTGTGAGGCCATACTGCTGACTTAAAAAAATTTTTTTACACTATCGTTTGAGTTTAATGTATTTTATATTTTTTTAGTAAAGCATAACTCTGATTTCTACAGACCATAAAACCAGACAGTGGGTTCTACGTGGAACTGTGACTTCTGTAACAGATTTCAATAAAGTTGGACCAACTTATCCTTGTCTGTGCCCATTTCCTCACCTATAAAGAGGGACAGTGGAACTGTCTTACTCTGGAATATCTATGATTACGTTTGGGGGGGGGGAATCTATGAATAATGTTCAGAACTTGCCCATTTTGATTTGACAGTCACTTGTCATATATAGCTAATTAAATTAAAACATTCAGTTCCTCATTTACACTAGCCACATTTCAAATGCTCAGTAGCCACATTTGGCTAGTGGCTATTGTAGTGGATGCAAATATAGAACACTAGAGACCTGGTGCATGAAATTCATGCACTGGTAGAGTCCCTAGGCCTGGCCAGCTATCAAGAGCCGATCAGGGCCTGCCTTCATTCCGTGCCACCCCTACCCCCTGGTGGTCAGCACACCCCAAAGCAAGCAATCGAACTCCTAGTCTCCAGTCAAACTCCCAAGGGGACACTTTGCATATTAGTCTTTTATGTATATAGATTAAACATATAGATTCCATCGCTGCAGACAATTCTATTGGACAGTGCTTTTTAAGGGTAGGCCGCTTGGAGTGTACACTGGTCATATTCATAGATGAGTACTGTCATGACTGAAGTGTCACTTGGAAAAATTCCTACTCACCAAACAGTACATGTTATTCAATACAAGAGAACACACATTTATAAAGGCATTTCATTTATTTTTCAAAAAAATATTTTTGCTAGAAGGTTTGAGTCATTTTATATTATCACAACCTTTAAATAAATTCTTTTTCTGACCAAAAGTTACTTCTTAAGAGAACAGCTTGTTTAGGTCTGCTTTTGTAAAACGCCAATACAATTAGCTCTTCTCTGATGGTATCCCTAGGCCTTCTTAATTGTCTACTGGCCAGGAGGCAGAGCCCAGCACATAAAGTATGTGCTTTATAGTTGCAGATTAGTTTGGTTTCTTAACATCAGTAAGCAGAGCAGGTAGTCAGTATGTCTAATTCACACTATAAATACAGATTCTCGCCTGATGGTTCTGATCCGCCCAGAACTCCCAGTTATCTCTTAAACCAATGAACTACAATTGCAAAGAGAAAGGGCAGCTCAACTTAGACTAGTGCTGGCTGTTCTTGTTTTGTTCCAACTATGAATTCAAGATGACCAATGTTAACTCGTCTTGAATGATAAATAGAAAATACAATGCAAAGCTAAAAAAGGGGTTTGAGGACTGAGGAGCAAGTGCTGCTTTTTCCTTTAGAAGGTTCCTTTCCTTAAGAGAAGGTTGGTTCTCTACAACCTTGCCAGAGCTAGAAGAATTAAATCTACATTCATTGCTATACATTTAACAAAAGGGAAAAAAAAAAAAATCACTGGAAGCACAGGCTACAGACAGGTAAGTTTGCTGATGGAGAAAACTGGGCAGCTTGTTGAAGATGCATCGTAAGTAGCTTTTAGTTTATACAAGGTCTGCACTCAACCCCAAAAGCATAAGGTCTACTGACCTTGTGGGCAACAATTCAGGGACAAGTTGGCGACAGTAAAAACTGCCTGTCCCTTCCACCAACAGCCCAAACTATATTTAAAAATGTCTGTTGCAAGGAAGCAATTATTGCAAACATCAATAAAAAAGGCCATTCTTGGGCTAGAGGTTTATAACTAATCACAAGAGGGGGGAAAGTGACTGATAAAACAAAGTTTCATGAATGCAGAGAAACATTTTAACCAGACTTAAAATATTTGTAATTTAGACTAAAGCATGCTGAGCAATGCATCCGAATGTGTCCCATAAAGCTGGAAGGGAATGAGAAATGACGGGACAGCTCACTTCCGGTTCTCTATGAACATCCCTGCGAGCCTCAATGTGGAGATGACAGCTGCTCAGACTGGAGGAAACGGCAACTCAGGCATTGGGCACTCATTAAGCTTCTGCATGCCGAATTCTGTCAGTAAGGAAGTGAGAGATGGAGCTCTAAAGTATAAGACGTTTTAAATCAATAGCCTAGTTATTGGCTACTTTGTACAGCTACAAAAAGTTAGGTAAATGTGTCACAAATTTGAAAAACCTCGTTTTGCACACTTTATGTCTGAAAGCTGAAAATCTCAAGATGTCCTCCCCATTTTAAGTTGTAATTTTTCTAATGCAGACACAACCCTATCTATAGCAGCATAAAGTGCCTCTAATCTCAGTCTTTTTGGACTTGAAGCACAATAAAAAAAATACTGACCTGGTTTTATACTAAAGAGTGTGAGTCTGGGGGGCTGTTTACACTGTAAACACTGGTGTTGTTGCTGGTCTGTCTGCGGAGGGAACCCTGCGTGTAAACATGTCTGACTCCACCCTCAGCTGCTGGCCTTGCCCGATGGCCAAGTTAAACGGCCAGCACGTTTTAGCTTTTTATTTTCAACACCTAACTAGGCATAGATCCTAAGTGTCTTCTGCCATTTTCTTGGTCTTTTTCTGTACAAATGTCTTAAGTTCCTTACATACATATCTGTTGTTTTTCCTGCCCAGTTCAGAACAGATAATTGGGTAGTTTAACATGCATTTTTTATTTCCTTTCAAATACCACAAATAGCTAGACTGAAGATGCAAGATCCATTATATCAATCCTAATGCAGCCAGGTGTAAGAACAGGGCCGCTTCTGCCTTTCTCCAGAAGATGAGGTTCATAGAAGCAGCAAAAAAAAAGACTCCTTGGTCAAGCGGAGGCCAAAAGAGCCCAGCACGTTGCTAAGATCACTGAAGAGCTGAGGGGAGGGGGGGAGTCCCTTGCTGTACTCCTGAGGAATCAAGTCTTCTCTATTACCATTCCTCTTCCCCAGCCCACCTGGAAAAGACCTGAAGCCAGTCTTCAGTTTTAAATGTTCATATTTTAAAT